TATATATTACATTTTATATTATCATCTCACACATGGATCTGCATTTCTCTAATGTATTTTTATAATAAAAAATACATATCTGATATGGCTTAATATATAATTATCATCAAACAAACGATATAATTCATATTCTCAAGGATTAAAGGGGTCATATGATGTGATTTCAATTTGGAGTGTTACAAGCTCTTGGTGCATAAAGAAGATCTGTAAAGTTGCAAAGACTAAAGTCTCAAATCGAATACAAGTACTGATCTAGTATTCATGAGAGGAGCGAGACTACAAAGCATCCAATCAAAGACACACAAAACATCTGTAATACATGATACAACAACCAGCCTCCATCAGAAACCAGAGTCATTAACAATGCACAGATGAATAATCTGCTAATGTGTGAATGTGTTTGCTGAAAACCATTTTAGAGATTGATCGTATCCTGCAAGATCTGAGATTTCATTTAGGATGGAGAGATACTCTTTGAAAGGTTTTTTTTTGGTCTTCCCAACATTAAAGGCGATAATAGTGGCCATCTGGCCATCATGATGATCATTTAACAGCTCAGACTGAGTCCTTTATGATATTGATGTGTCACCAGAGCTGACGTCCAATAGCTTTGTTCAAACACAAGGCAAAAATAACATGTAGTCGATGCAACCGACTCTCAAATCTGTTTGCAGTCTGAAGAGTAAAAAACCAAACCCAATCCAAACAGCATCTAGTATGTGGTTTAAATGCAGTTAAAACAGGATTTTTGTGAATGCGTTTCAGATCATATTTCGTATTGTATTTTTTTTTTTTCATTCACTCATTACACTCACATGTGGCTTTCGCTACTGAGTGATAAATGAGTGAACGAGTGAGCAGTTTTGGATAAAACGTGCATGAATGTGTAAACAAAATGAATACTTGTCAAGCACCACACGCAAGTAAAATGGCTTTGTTAAATCAAAATGGAGTGCACCATTACATGGTTTAAGCCAAACTGCAAAAATGACAGCTCAATCATTCCATGCATACGGCTATGTTTATGAGCAGTATTACACGAGTACCCGTGTGATACAGCTCTATATCAGAATGGCTGTGATATTGTTCACAGCAGTTTGACAGCAGTGTGTAAATAAATAAGGAACAACCACGGAGTGTCTTTAAAAAACATTTTGTATGCGCAACTACTTTCTCAGTCTCAGTTTGACAGTTTAACTTAAGTTTAACTGATAATAATAAAAATGTTTCTTCAGCAGAAAATCGGCATATTAGTATGATTTCTGAAGGATCATGAAGGGCACTGAGGACTGGAGTAATGATGCTGAAAATTCAGCTGTGATAAATTACATTTGAAACTATATTCAAATAGAAAACAGTTATTTTAAATAGTAATAATGTTTCACAATTTGCTGTTTTTACTGCATTTTTGATCAAATAAATGAGGCCTTGGTGAGCAGAAGACAAATCTTAATTATTACAAATATAGGTGGAGTTTTACAGAGACTGTCTCTTTCCTCGTCATTAATTGGCAAGGAAAAGACTAAATACTGCAAATGTTGTAGGGACAAAAATGCATTTGTATTAAAACAACACTTCAGGTTGGCAGGGAATAATGAAAGTCTGAAAATACTCAATACTCAGTAGTTGTGTTTATTCTGTCAGACCGTGGTGGGATGTCATGACCAAAGGCAACACTTTTCTCTCTTTCCACTCTGACAGCTACTCTATCATGAGTCTGACAGGTGAGTCAATATTACAGCAACTAGTGTTGATATCCGGATATTGACCACACTGAATATTGTCTGATTTCATCATGTAATGGCAGTGTGGACAGTCAAAACTACAGATCAAAATCACAAAAAATTCAGTGCCTGTTGGTAGACGAATCTGCCCACAAACAGTGATGTCACTGACAGCTTTTGTAAAAGCACATGGAAAATAAGTATAGATGTTGCCTGGAATAAAAGAAAAACAAGAAACTGATTAATGATGTAATTCTGATTGGATATAAAATACACTCCACTTCAAAGCTTCAACATTGTGTTATATGAGATTAGCACAATTCATTCACTTACCTAACTTTTCTGTGCGATGTTACAGCAATTTTCCACTCGTCATGATCATGTAGAAAGGCAATAGGAACTGCAAAAAATGATTATTTATACACTTAACAGCTTAAAAGTGCACTTTTTAAGGGGAAAAAATTATGAAATTGCATTTAAAACAAATGAAAGAAAAATTAAAAAGTTAAGAAATAGTTTTCTGTGGTTTAAATATTTTAAATAATTTAATTAATTCATTAATTAAAATGTAAAAATAAAAATTATTTATGCACATATGTTTTATTCATTTATTATGTTTTTTTTTTTGTGTTAATCAATATTATTTTAGGTAACACTTTATTTCGATAGTCCACTTTAGACATTCTACCAACAGTAAGTAACTTTGCAACTAGATGTCAACTATCAGTCGTTATAGTATTAGTAGACTGTCTGCTTAATATCTTCTAACACTTTATTTTGATGGGTCCACAACATACAACATACTGACTACAGTATAAGAAACTTTTTCTACTAACTCTAAACCTAACCTAACAGTCAACTCTGAGAGTTAGTAGACATGTATTCGCAAATGAATGAGAGTTAGTTGACATCTAGTTGCAAAGTTACTTATAGTTAGTAGAATGTCTAAAGTGGACTATTGAAATAAAGTGTTACCTTATTTTACAAATGCTGCCGACAGACCTTTTTTAAGCTTTACAACAGCCAAACAAATTAATTCAATTATTAAGGTTTTTAAATAAATAAATAGTTGTAATTATTTTCTGTGGTTTAAAATAAAGTAATAAATTAATAAATAAATAAATTAATAAATTAATTCCATTACTTCTGTTATTATGCTACAAATGCCGTTGATAGAGCTAAACTTTTTTTTATACAAGTTCTATTGATAAAGTTTAACTTGCATTGAACCACAAACTTTTCCTTTAATACCCATGTAAATGCTATTTTATCATCTGCAAATTTTGTTCATGTCACACAAATGTTTTAATGCCAATTTTAATCCAACATTTCCTAAACTAAAAAAAAAAAACACTTATCAAAGCTTAAGATAGGGGATCCGTGGGCGACCTTCAGCAAATCATACATTTCATTAAAACCTTATTTCTTAAGAACCAACACATTGAAAACAGCACAAATTCCCTGTAGTGTCCCTGTTGTGCCACACTATTGCAGACCATCATCGCTGTGGCAAAGCATCATGGGAAATCCTTGATGGACTGATAGTGAGCATTATAGAGAGAATGCTGTTAATTAACACCCTTCTCAAGAGTAAACTCCATTTGATTTGGTATAATAGCTTATCAAATGCATATCTTCCATTATCGTTAATTATCCGCCACTCATTTTATTACCATAATTCCTTTCGACTGCTTTTGTCGGTTTGTTCAACATGTCAGAGATGTTGTGTCGGACAATCATAAAATGAAATGGAAATATGATTCCTATTCAAAACTAGCAGACAATGCGTATGAATGGCTGAATCAACCAAATTTATTCACCATTAGTCTACAAGTACAGATTAGAAAACACACACACACACATTACTGTACACATTTGTGACGTCAGATATACTTTGGGTGGGTTGATTATGCTAGAAAATGTCAGAACGGAACCAATGAAAACGCAATAAGCAACCCATAACCCACAAAGCCAACTCACTGTTTAACTGCAGCTAACCGAGCGTATTTACAAATCACCTACGCAGAATGAAACACTGTCACAGGTGCACTAAAAACTCAATGACCGGCGTATCGTAGAAGAAACCCAGAAACAAAACAGAGATAACCCAGCTAACAAAGATACGTTCTAGGAATGTTTTGCTAACATTGTTATTAAGTTATAAAAATGTTGTTTCTGAACATCCAGTTTATTTATTTTTAAATCGTTGTTATGCAAACGTTTCAGGAACATTCCATTTTATAATTTTGCAAATATTATGGGAACGTTACTTTTGAATAAGTAGTAACATTTAAAAGACGTTAGATGAACATCCAACTAAAACATCACATTTGATCATTTTGCAGACATTATGGGCAGGTTACTTCTGAATATTCTCTGACATTCTAAAGTAGCATTTAAAAAACGTTCAGACGGGTTTGGGGGGAAAAATAACGTTTTTATAATAACGTTTTGAGAACATTATTAAAGACCAGAGAACGTTGAACAAATGTTCTATTAACATTACTGGAAGAGCAACCACAGAGCTTAACTTCAAAAACATAAAGGGAACATTCCATTTTATAATTTCGCAAACATGATGGGAATGTTACTTTTTATCATTTAAAAAACATTATACAAAGATCCCCCAAAAAATTTCAGTTTTATCATTTTGTAAAAATTATGGTAATGTTACCGTTAATTAACATTAACAGTAGGGGGCAGTCGTGGCCTAATGAATAGAGAGTCGGACTTGTAACCCGAAGATTGCAGACTACTGTGTGTGTGTGTGCATTTGGATGAACATTAAAAAACGTTAGACAGACGTCCAGGTAAACCATTTCAAGGGGGAAAAAAAAGTTCCATGAACAATGTATAAATACTGTTGTTGTGCTAACATGTTTTTGTGGTAATCATTAGTATGCTACAAATGCTGTTGACAGAACAACTTGAAAATAGTTGGGGAAACGTTATATATTTGATCAATTTACAAACATTATGCGAACGTTACTTTTGAATGTTTTCTGAATATTCTAAAAACAACTAGTAACAATAATAATAATAAAAAAAACTGTTAGATGTATGTCCAGCTAAACGTTTCAGGATCAAAAGTTGTTTGTGCTAACGTTTTGAGAATGTTCTTAAAATCCAGATAACTTTGAACTTTGAAAAAAAAAACACTGGGGAAACATTCAATTTTGTCATTTTGCAAATGTTATAAGAATGTTTTTTGAATGTTCAAAAGTAACATTTAAAAAAAAAAAATCGATCATCCAGCCAAAATGTTTCAGGAACAAATGTTCCATAAACAATGTATAAATAATGTTTCTGTGCTAAAGTTTTGAGAACGTTTTGAAAACACCAGATAACTTTAAACAAATGTTCTATTAACGTTTCTGACAGAACGTTTGTTCATAACTTTTCCAGAATGTTCGCTAACGTTCTAAAAACGATCCCTGTTAGCTGGGAATGTGACAAAAGAAAGTAAAACAACGTCAGTCATCTATTGTGCTTTTAAAACCTTTCCCCACTTCGTTATCGAAACGGGACATGTTTTGAGAAGAGACACTTGCTAAAGTGCTTACGCCAGTTTATATTCAACCGCTATCGCTATTGTTTAGGATTCGAGTTAGAAATCATAAATCTATATAGGTTCTGATTTACTGTACGTATAAAGTCAGCGCAGGTTTCGCAGCAGTTCTGGAAAAATAGTTTCAGGTTTCTAGTCCGGTGTCCGCGCGCGAAGCCCTTGCGTTTGCTCTACGTGCGAGAAGAAAGTCTAGATCCTTCCCAAGCCGACCCGGAACTGATGGAGTGGAAAGCTTGCGCTGGAAGCGGGAACGGGTCAAGGTGGGACGCTTAAAAAAAGAAACCTGTCGAAGTGGGCCACCGCCGCGGATTCCTCCAGCTGGATTGTTTGTTGACATCATTCGCTCTCCCGTCTCGCCCTCTCAGACAGTTACTTCAGTCTTGCTGGCGGTTCTGTACTGATGATGGTGATGTCCGGGGATATACTGCAGGTGGTCCACCGTATGCATGCGGCGGTTGGCGAACGCCTGCCTTTTGTTGCCCACCTGCGCGCTGTTAACAGTCAGTGTGTTGTAGGACTCGTTGTTGCTGCTGCTGGGGTGCGAATGCATCTTCATCATTTTGTAGTGCCGGTCCATGACCGGTGTGGTCGGCACGAACATGTCCGTGTGCGACAGCGCCCGCGACATGGCCTTCTCGCGGAAATTGGAGCGCCGCAGGGAGAGCATCTTATCTGGCGAGAGCAGTGGGTCCTGGGAGAGCAGTCGGTCGGCCGACAGCAGCTTCTCCTCGGAGAGGATGCGTCCGTGGTACGGGGACAGACCGCCGGCGCCGCCGCTGTATGACGACAGGCCGTAGTCTCGGTGCGGTTTGGAGTGGGCGGGCGAGAGCACGTGGTCCTGGGACATGGCGCGCTGCACGCGTTTGGGCTTCTGGCGCTGCGCCGGCGGATCCACGCTCAGCTTGATCATGTGCGTCTGCAGGTGTCCGCCGCGATGCGTCGGATCGGGCAAATGGTGCTTGCGGATGTAGTACTCGTCGTCCTTGTTGCCTGAGGAAGAGAGCAGAGCAGTGCTGTTAACGGTAAACTAAAACGATTGAAAAACATTTACGCATCTTATTTTTTTTACTTGTCTTTCTTTAGTTTAGCTAAATCTGAAGTCTGTTTAAACTAATACTAAATTAAAAAAGAATAAACAAATTTACCAATATATTCAAAATAACAAAACACAAGAAAAACAAGCACAAATATATATATTGAAAAACATTCACATTACTTGAATGAACTAAAATAAACTGAAACTTAACTAAAATGAAAATTTATTTTGTTGCCAAGGGCAAACTACTTAAACGTAAACTATTGAAAAAACATCTGTTATTTGAATTGGTTAACTAATTAGTTATGTTATTAGTTAATTGAAGTAAAATATAAAAAAAAAAGACGTAAAACATTACTTAGTAAAACTAAGTTATAGTTAGTTATAATAACTAAATAAATAAAGTTAGTTAATAAATTATTAACTATTAAATTATTAAAGTTAGTTAATAAATTAGTTGCCAAGGCAGCATTTCAACTAAAACTGAAAATAAGTAAAGTAAAAATGTATTACTTAATAAAAAAATGCTAAAAAATAAACAGATATTCAAATCTAAAAAACAACAAAAAACTAATAAAAACAACAAAAACAACATAATCACTAAAACTATTGAAACACATTGATGTTAACTGAAATAAAATATAAAAAAATAACATTTCAAACATTTAGAAATTTAGTTTAGTTTAAGCTTATGTATTAAAATGACTACAACTAAAACCAAAAATAAAATAAAAAAAATCACAAGAACTAAATAGACATATTGAAAACATAAACACACAATATATACTGTATATGCTATAATACTTTATTAAGGATACTAAAATAACTGGATCAGTCACAAAAGCAGAAAACAAACACAGAACAAACTCTGACTGATAAGAACAAAAAGTATGTCCTAAGTTTGAATTGTACTACTTGGAGAAAAAAAGTACAACTGATGTGAAAGCTACAGGTCCTGCAGAAACGATTTTGCTGATGTAAAATACAGCACTAAATTGTGTTTTTATGTCTGTTTCCTCACTTTCTCAGTTTTTATTGCTCTGTTTATCTTTTCTTTGTTTTTCTCAACAATGGCACAGGAAACACAAAGTCGGAGTTGATGCAGCTATGAGGAGTCTCTCTGGATCAGGGAAATGAGTGTGTGTGTGTGTGTGTGTGTGTGTGTGTGTGTTTATGTGGGACGTGTTGAGTTTGTTGAGGAGCAGATGAACTCAAGAATAGGGCATTTCTCCTGAGATGCTGCAGCGTTTTTTTTATTTGTTTTTGATTTTACTTACTCATGAAGCAGTAGGTGTTTGGGATGATTGCCGGACTGCATGCTATGTGCTTTATACTTCAATTTGGTAAAAATCAGTACACACACACACACACACACACACACACACACACACACAAACCATTATGCAATTATGCATTATGCAAAATAAAAAAATAAAAAATATTGCTATTGTAATATTTCACTGTAAAATTAAAATAGGTATTTAGTAATAATAATAATAATAATAATAATAATAATTTATTTTACAGTGACAACTGTACAACTTTTAATATATTATCAATAATAATAATAATATTATTATTATTATTAATTATTATTGCTATTATATTATAATTATTTTACTATTATAGATCTATAATTATAACAGTCTATAAGTAATCTTATCTATATTAATATCTGAGTGCTTATTAATATCTGTGCTTATTTTTCACAACTGAATTTTGTGTTAACATGTTTTAATTTATGGAAGTCCAAGCAAATTTTGACTCCAGGTTTATTCATCACACTCAAAATTAAGCACATTAACTTCTACCAAACAACCCTAAAACAAAACTTGTGTAAAAACGAAGTAAATTAATAAAACAATACATTTTACAACTTTTTTTTATGTCACTAGCTTGTCGTGTAGTGTAACTACTTATCTAAAAGCATAGCTGTTACTACTTGAACTGATGACAGGCTCCAGTTTTTAAGTAGCTTCCCCAAATGGACAAGATGATTTCCTTTCTGAGCAGCAGTGGACAGAGGCTGCAGCCGCAGATGACTGTGTTTGTGAGCATTCAGTACGAGACCAACTATCGATTCGCCGCTCGACTGTTGATCTTGGAGTTAATGAAGACAGGATCCTACAGCTGGCCGGCTGCTGTAGTTCAGAATTATCATCACTGACAGCACAGGCGGCCCAACACGCTCAAAGGCCGAATGTGCCGATGTGAGGGCATGACATTAGACGTGAAAAGGTCAGGTGGACGGTCACGCCGGACCCCAGAGCTCAATTATCTGCTCAGATACAACGCTTTAGATCAGCGTGCAGTAATGCAATCTAATGCTACAGACGCACAATATCAGCTACTGGCCTTCCGGGATGAAGTGCGCTAATCTCTCAGGTCAGCTGCATTATGAGCCAAAGAGAGCAACCCTTTTATTACCTGTCTCTTATTTATTATGCTAAATATCTCTTTTTTTATTTAATTTAATGTTTATTCATGACCAGACAACCTATAAAAGCATGTTGTTTCCTCAAAATAATAAATGTAGTTTGAATTTTTTTTACAGTTAAAGCTGATTTTGCATATTAATCCTGTAGAGCCTGATATATGGACAAAAAGTAGTCAGAAAAATTTTAATTTGTTGAAATGGAAGAGTCAGCTGAACCTCATGGAAGCTTGTTTCCAGCATGGAATAAAACAACAAAAAAGGTAATTGCAACTTTTTAGCCCGCAATTCAGATTTTTCAGAGTTTATATCTAAAATTCAAACTTCTTTTCTCAGAATTACAAGATATAAACTCAGAATTGTGAGATATTAACCTGTAATCCTGAGAAAAAAGACTGACTTGCGATATATAATCGAATAATTCTGTATACTTTTTTGCAATTCTGACTTTTTTCTTTGCTGAATTCTGATTTTTACATAGTTATGGCTTGTTTCCCACAAAATAAGTAAAATAAAAAAGGCAATTGCAACTTTTTATCTCACAATTCTGAGTTTGTGGCTCACATTTCTAACTTTTTTCTCAGAACTGTGAGAGAAAATGTTGCAATTACTATTTATTTTATTTTTATTTTATTTTATTTTATCCCGTAATTTGGTGCAGATACTGATATTTATATGGTAAAAAAGTAAGATGAAATCAAGTAAGCTTGTAAATCAATGAGATAACTGAAACATAAAATGATATAAATATTAGTCACCACTCTGTATCAGCCAATAAAATGTCTTAGTAAGATGATATTTAAATGCTTAGTTTGATGATCAGTACTCTGTAGTTTAATGCCATGATGACTGAGAGATAATAAATGTTCTTCAAAAGATGACACGTGAGATTTAGTTAGATTTGAACATGATTTTTCTTAAAAATGTCTGGATAATCAAGTAAACTTAAGCTGATTCAGTCTAGTAAGTGTTCATCTTGAAATATTAGTGTAAGTAGTACTGTAATATTACTATAAATATTATTTAATAAGTTATTCTTATAAAAAAAACTAGTAAAGACCTCACAGCAAAAAGACACATGAAGCACAACCTAAAGGTGGACGTTTGTACAATTATACTAAAAGACCTTTGACTTGCTAAAACTATCAATCAGACGACAGAAGGCATGTGTCATGATTTGGTTCATGTTCCCCTGTCTTGTGTTTGGACTTTTGTGGTACTTCCTGTCTAGAGTGCCATTTGTAGTTAACTTGTAGTCCTATTGTTTCATTGGTCGTCTTGATTCCGTTTGGAGCGTCTGGAAGCCACTCATAGTGGGGGGGGCTCTGTCACGATAGTGGGTCTCGTCTTTGTTTTCTCCGGACTCCATTTCCCATAACCCCTGCCTAGGAACTAATTATCACACCACACCTGTTTCCCATCAGTGACACTATAAAGGTTGCACTCATCCACACACACATTGCTGATTATTGTTTAGCCTATGTTGTCTAGTTTCTGCCTTGTCTTGCCTTCGTGCTTTGTTCTTGGACTGTTTACCTGGTTTGTGATCGTTGACTGCCTGTTCTCTGGATTACTCTTTTGGATTACCCTGGATGTACTGTTTTGCTGGTGTTTTGACCCTGCCTGTCCGACTACGCTCTAAATAAAGCCTGCACTTGGATCCTCAACCCCGTTGTCACGTCTCCTCGTTACAGCATGTAGTAGATTGTGTGTAACAGGTTTTTCAAAGTTTTGATCTTGTTGATCATTTAGAAATGTGTGTATCAAATATGAAACAGTAGTATTTAAAGGGTTAATCCTATAAAATAGCATGTTATCTCTTTCTCTGCTCTGCGACCCTTCTCCCTATTAAAACCATGAGTAATTGTTCTCCATTACCGTTCATTACTCTCAGGTCTGCCTCTGGTCGACTCACGGCAGGTGAAACCATAATTACTCAAACAGCACTGCAAACAGGCACCAGAGGCACCATTATTTTACATCCCACAGTAAAGAAAATACACATTAACGCTCCAACATGTCTGTAGCATGTCTATGACTATTCATGTCTGTCTACAGAAATGACTAATGTGTCTTTTTGTGATTTTTTATTCTCTGCAATTCATGGTAAGTTTGTTTTTGAAATCCGTGTCCATTTAAAACTTTATTATTAATTCCTCTTGGTTTTCAATCTTGCAATTTTCTTCATTCAGTGTTGAATGTCATTGATTAGCGAGCTGTAGTGTTGCCCATCTGATCATAATGGCTCAGGACTATGTTAACGCAGCATTTCAATACTTTCATGTTTAATTTATTCTGCCCTTTTGTATTTAATGAAAGCCGGTCGACTGGTTATTTTTCATTTAGCAGGTGCTTTTATCCGCAGTGCATGTATTATAGTTGCAGTCCCTGTGGAGACGAGCGTCCTGCGCAAGGACACTGAAGTGACAGCAGATCACAAACTTTCTAATTTAAGACACAACCTACAAGTTTGGGGTCAGTTTGAAGAGTTCATTTGCAAAAACAGATAACTCATTGTTTTTAACAATTTTCAAAAATCATGTTTTTTCATTGTACATTCCAATTAATCTCAATTGAACACTGCAGTTGGGTTATTTTTTATTTTTGAAAATGTAAAAAATGGAGTTATCTGTTTTTGCAAATAAACTCTTCGTATGTTTTTTTTAAATATAATTTTTCACGTCTCTTCAGCTCACCAAGGCTACATTTATTTGATTAAAAAATACAATTACAATTACAGTAAAACCAGTAATATTGTGAAATATTAGTACAATTTAAAATAACTGTTTTCTATGTGAATATATTGTAGAATGTAATTTATTTTTTTGATCAATGTTGAAATCAATATCTTTGATGAATAGAAAGTTCAAAAGAACAGTATTTATGTGAAACCGAACATTTTTGTATGATTATAAATGTCTTTACTATCACTTTAGTTCAAGTTTACTGTATTTTTGATCAAATAATTGCAGCCTTGGTGAGCAGAAGAGACATCTTTCACTATTGCGAATCCATCTTATGCAATTCTTGTAGAATTTGTCATGTGAATTCTGCACATAAATGTATGAAAATGAATCTCTCTGTCTCTTATACAGGATGGATAATAATGAAGGGAGGAGTATGTACTTAAGTCTGCTTTCATGGCCATCTCGTAGGACGGTGGGAGGTGCGTGAGGTTCTGGAAGGACCGGGAGAACGACAGGTCATACGGCTCTGTCTGGGATGTCAGGATATTGTTCATTCTTGGCTTCTCTGCAGGGTAGAAAGGGAAAAAAGAGGCAGAGTGAGAAAGAGAGAGAAAGATGAAACACATCCTATATAAGAGAAAGCAGTTCCAGCTCAGTGTATGCAGGCCTCCATGGCATCTGTCTGAGAGTGTGTGTGCTGGAATAATATTTGAAGAAGTTGTTTAATGAGGGTGAGTGTTGGTCCAGGCAGCTGCTCAGCCAATAAAACACTTGTTGGGAATGTCGTTCCCTCATTTTAACTGTGTGCTCATGGGACTATGAACTGCCAGGCCTGGGATTTGCAGGCTATTTTCAAAGGCTTGTGTTTCTAGACTTGTATATATGACATTACATAGGCGCACATATACAGTACCAGACCACATATACACTGCAAAACATGATTTTCTTACTCGGTGTTTTTGTTTTGTTTACTAGTAAAAATTCGAAACTTTCCTATAGTTCACCCAAAAATGCAAATTTCTTACAAACGCACAGTTTTTCTCTTCACAAGTCATTAACTGATGGACTGGAGTGGTGTGGATTACTTGTGGATTATTGAGATGTTTTTATCAGCTGTTTGGACTCTCATTCTGACGGCACCCATTCACTGCAGAGGATCCATTGCTGAGAAAGTGATGTAATGCTACATTTCTCCAAATCTGATGAAGAACAAACTCATCTACATCTCTGATGGCCTGAAGGTGAGCACATTTTCAGGAAAATTTTCATTTTTGGGTGAAGCAAAATTTATAAAGTATCAAACTATCAAAATTAAATGACTTCATGTTTAAATCAAGAACAAATATCTGCCAATGGGGCAGGGATGTATGTTAATTTTTTTTGCTCAATACACTGGTGCTACAGAGGTTGAAAGTGTAGCACAGGCCAAACTCAAAAAATACAAACCATCACAAAAATTGTTTTTAGACAAAGTTTTTTCTTTATTTGCTAAAAATGGAAGAGTGCAGAAACATAACACCTCCTACACTTCATCAAAATATAAAATAAAAAAGAATGGCAGACATTTAGGCCAAAGTGGGCAAAGATAAAAAGCCTTGTCATTATTTTATCTTTGTTATTAGAAAATAAGAATGTTTAGATACCCACATTCTTTAAAATATCTTCTTTTGTGTTCAGCACAAGCAATAATTTAATACAGGTTTGGGACAACATGTGAATGAGCAAATAATGACAGAAATTTAATTTTTGGGTGAACTCTTCCTTTAATGACAAGTGGCAGCATGTTTAGTTCTGTTGCTTTAAGAGCTGCACGCATCGGTTTCTCTCTCAACTGTTTACTTTAATTTTAGACATACCCAACTGTGTTTATATGTAAACCTTGTGTGTTTTTGACATTATTAGATGCAAAGTCAATCAGACACAAAAGACAACTTAGTCTAGTAATCAGGCACTGTTTAAGTGTGCGGTGTGTGCACACTTCATGTGTACGTTCTCAGAAAAAGCGCACATCAGAACAGAATGTGAATGAAATGTTTAACCGGCTTTAAAGCAGATGCAAATAATGTACTTTTGTGATTGTCCCGTGTGTGTAACTTTACCCCTGAGTTAACACTGATGTGAATGCATGTGGCGTTGCCAGAACTGCAGCTGATAGAATGTGCGCTGTAGCATGATACTACGACATTTCTTTAAAAGCAGATCATGGAGACATTTTAATCCACAATCAAAAATTGTCATATCACACACTCCTAACTACCAAGTATAATCAATCTCACACAAACAAACAAGCACAACAGAATCACTTAACACTATTAAGTGGCTGCGTTATGAACACGCAAAACTGTATCGCACGCGTGCTACAGTGGAAAATGTATTCATCTCACAGACCAGTTTTTTCGTAGCACATGCAACATATATGTCGCACTGTACAGCCCTGCAATTGTCAGGATTATGGACTACTCTGTGTGTGTTTTTGCCCCTGTGACCCAGTTTCTTCCTCATGTTGATTGTGTTAATTATAGACCAACACAAGAGAGTGTAACTGTATAGAGATAAGCACAGAGAGACTGCACACAAACATAGACCAACACAGAGAGAGACCGCACACATATAGAGTCCACCCTACATTCACAGACATCAAAGAAATGAGAAATCATACACATGTACAACATGTGTACTGCTTACCGTAGTGCTCTATTCGGTGTCCTAACAAACCCAAGTGAGAAAAACAAAATCAGTAATGTTCTTTTGCATGCTTTTGATTCACGGTGTCACATATTGCAGGATCATTCTGTGATGGTCTGATCATTCAACCAAATTCAGAAAACATCCATAGCTAATTATTATTTTTTTCCCCTGAAGAATGACAAACATAAATGGCAGTGAAAGCCAAAATATTAAATGTCTGATTAATTTTCACTGTGTAATCCACTATTTTGTAGGCAGTGGTCAAAATGACAATTTTGTCAAATACGGTAAGTATCAGCTAAATTAAAAGTGACCCACATTTGATTTGAAATGTAACAATTTGCCCATGGAGATACACTGAGATCCCCATATCCATGGGATTAAACCTTAGAGGACCTTAAAAATGAAGATACCAAAAGAAAAGTGTGTTAATAACCAAAATCTAAAAGCTTGTTATGATATCTTTAATACTGCTTGTGGTACATGCATGCAAACTTTGGAAAAATACGTTTTGGCTCTCAGACAGTTAAGATCCATGCAGTTCCTTTGACAGAAGGAAATTAGATACATTTCTAGTTTTAATATTATTTGTTCTTCAGACAGTCCTCTTTAAAAAAAAAAAAAAAAAAATCTATCAGATGTATGCAAAGTGACCACACTTGGTTTTTGACAACTGGAAACGTTTACAATTTACTCCTGGAGCCATATTGTGATCCCCATATCTCTGGGATTGAACAATACTGGGCCTTAAAAATAAAGATGCCATAAGAAATCGTTGTTAAGAACCAAAATCTAGAAGGATATTAAGATATCTTGAATACCTCTTGAGTTACAGGCATGCAAACTTTGGAAAAAAACAACATAAAAAAGTGCTCTTTCCCATTTTTGAACTGTCACCGTTGGCATATAATGCATTTACTAAAGTCGACAGATTTCACTAGTAGACCTACCAATCTCTGTGTAAAAATAGCATGATGCAGCAATCTTTCTCAGATTATTAAAGACTGTGTTATTCAAGTATTCCTTGTTCCTTGCTCCCCGAGTTAATTGTGACAGCAATGGGGTGAGAAAAATAAACTGGGTTTCCCTTTGAATTAAGTTTATTTTTCCTACCCCACTGGTAGGTATTTACTTTTCGTTTTACTTAATTACTTATCTTGTTTTCTGAAAAATGTATCAAAATTAAATAAGTAATTTTGCATCTTAAGTAAACGTATCTTGATTTAAGGGATATTTGTACTGGACAACAAGACAAAAATACCGAGTAAGAAAATATTTTTTTGCAGTGTATAGACCAGGGGTAGGCAAGTTCGGTCCTAGAGAGCCGCAGTCCTGCAGAGTTCAGCTCCAACCCTGAAAAAAAAAAAATCTATCAGATGTATGCAAAGTGACCACACTTGGTTTTTGACAACTGGAAACGTTTACAATTTACTCCTGGAGCCATATTGTGATCCCCATATCTCTGGGATTGAACAATACTGGGCCTTAAAAATAAAGATGCCATAAGAAATCGTTGTTAAGAACCAAAATCTAGAAGGATATTAAGATATCTTGAATACCTCTTGAGTTACAGGCATGCAAACTTTGGAAAAAAACAACATAAAAAAGTGCTCTTTCCCATTTTTGAACTGTCACCGTTGGCATATAATGCATTTACTAAAGTTGACAGATTTCACTAGTAGACCTACCAATCTCTGTGTAAAAATAGCATGATGCAGCAATCTTTCTCAAGTAATTTTTCCTCCATGCAATTTGGCTCCAAATCTCAGGTAAAACGTCATTTTGACTACCCTCTATAAAATAGTGGATCACTAAGTAAATGTTCATCCATGGCATTTAATATTTTGCCTTTCTTTTCATTTATGCATTTTTTTTTTCACCAGAAAAAAAGATCAAAATCAAAAGTTTTAGCCAGGGACCTCTGGTGGAGTTGACACAGATAATATATAATGGAGTGAGCTGATATTAACTGATATTACGTGATATCTAGCACACAAGAAGTTTGATTTAATTGAGTGCATAAACTAATAGCATCACCGTTCCACCGCGAGAGATGTGACCGATGTGTGCTTACACTCTGAAAAGCTTTTTCACACAAAATCAAATTTGGGAAGACGAGATATAGTCAGAACAATTACAACTGTGGCTTTTCAATAACGTCGGCAAACTGTGCAGATCCGATTAGCATACTGTTTTGTTACACAATCCTCCCTGCTAGCGGGGCCATTTACAGGCTAAGCTTTTAATTTCCTGTCAAGAGGCTGTTTTTTTGTCAAAACCCTGCTTTTTTATCATCCCAATCAAATTTTGGGTGAAAGGCGTCTCTGATCTCGAGGGCTGTTGGGGAGTTAAGCATCTTGAGTAATGGAGATTATCAGCGCTCATCTGATGAGGCTAATTATGAAAATCTTTTCTGGAGATAAAATCTATCTCCATTAATCACTCCAATCTGATATTATACACCACGTCCTTCACCCTTCAAACCATCTGGATTTGGAAGACGCTGATAGTATCGAGATGTCATATCACAAATCAATTCAACTCTGAGCCGCTTTTGAGCGTCATTTTCATACTGCGGACGAAATGAATGATCATGATTTACTGGAAACAAAGATATCGAACAACTCACCGATTTTGGGTGTGTGTGACCCAGTGAGATCCAGATGGCTGGTGTAGTCGTGTGGATGGTTACCTGTCAAAAGAAAACCAAGGAAAAACTGGTGTGGTTTAATGTATTCCATACCAATTAATCAACGTGACAGAGTCTGTGGCATTTTTACACGAAAACGCAGCGTTCCAGACACTTTTTCCGACCGGCAGATGCTTCTGGAAGACAATGTGTCTGTGTTTACAATGGAAAACATCTGTATAGCACCCGAAAGACGAGCAGAATAACCCCCAAACCCCCCCCCCCCCGACCATATCAAGAACACGCACAGAAAAGTTTTAGAGAGCAAAACAAGATCAAATCAACAAGTACACTGTAATAACTGCAGCTTTAAGCCTTTAAACAAATAAAGAAAAACTAATAAAAGCGATATTGCTCCATTTCTGCTAGACATCAGCGTTTACTCTTGAAACTGAAATTAAACTATATGATCTCAGGGATACAGGGTTCATGCAAGGACTGCCTGAAAACAACAGATGTGTACATTTTCTGAGAAAGAAGTGCATGTTGCTTATACAACTCGTAAAAAGTTTTCAACATAAGTCTCTTCTGCTCAGCAAAGCTTCATTTATTTAATTAAAAATAAAGCAAAAACAGTAAAATTGTGAAATATTATTACAATTTAAAACAACTGTTTGCTATGTGAATATATTGTAAAATGTAATTTATTTCTGTGATGGAAATCTGAATTTTCAGCATCATTACTCCAGTCTTCAGTGTCACATGATCCTCCAGAAATCATTCTAATATGCTGATTTGCTGCTCAATATTTCTTATCATCATCAATGCTGATAACAATTGTGCTGCTTCATAAACTGTGATACAGGAAAGATTAAAATAATAATAATAATAATATTTGTATTATTTAAAGACGTTTATAATGTTACAAAAGATTTCTATTTTCAAACAAATCCTGTTCTTCTTAACTTTCTATTCATCAAAGAATCCTGAAAAAAAGTTTCACAGTTTCTATAAAAATATTAAGCAGCAAAATAATCAATCATCAGTCATGACTGATAATAACTGAGCTGCAAATCATCATATTAGAATGATTTCTGAAGGATCATGTGACACTGAAGACTGGAGTAATGATGCTGAAAAAGCACTTTGCATCACAGGAATTAATTACATTTTACAGTATATTCACAGCGAAAACAGTTCTTTTAAATTCATGGATATTACATAATTTAACTGTATTTTTTATCAAATAAATGCAGCCTTGGTGAGCAGAAAAGACTTAAAAAATATGAATTATTCCAAAGTTTCTGTGCTGCAAGATAAGCTACAAATTTCAATATTTTAGTTTGTTTTGTTCAATTCATTAACCCCAAGTACAAGTCACCGCAATAGTCATTGACATAGCAATCACTCTTAATGATCAACCACAGCTGTGTTGTAATTATAAATCAATTGATATTCATATTTACTCAGTGTCTTAACGTTCAGAGGTTTGGAATCACGCTTATGAATTTCCAAAGACGTGTCTAGGGTTTTTATATAGCGTTTTGCATTCAGTAGACAAATAAAATCTGCGTTAAATGCGACCCCGGGACACTTCAGTGTCATTTACACAATTATATCTCATTAGCAAACGACACTGCTGATAACAACAGCATGAAAACCCAGTGTTAATATGTGATTAACATCAGTGCATTCGACCGGTTTCAGTTTCACTATAACGCAGTCGCAAATCAACACTGACACGTTATCTGTTTACAACGATCTTAGCGTGAAATAAGCTTGTAAACAACAACGTGTGCGTGATTTCGTTCTAAAACAAAGGTTTACTTCTCTCGCTGGACGTCCCGAGAGACAAAGCAGAAAAACATGTCGTGTTCGGTGCTTTCAAGCCATCACAGAGTTGTTCGCTGTCTTCTGCTGTGTGGATTTGAGGGTCAAAGTGAAACAGACAAGCACAGATGATTAGGTGCAGAAAACACAGTCTAATTACACAAAGCAGCGCTGTATGCTAAACCTGCAGGACAGCTAGCTGCTGTCCCGCTCAACCGGCCCGCTTTGATCAAGGGACCAATTATCCCGTCTTCACTTCGCCGCGTAAATGAACTTGTTTGGTGCTTTCAGACAAGAAACAGCTTTCCTCTGCTTCACACGGACATGTGCTTTGCAGCCTCGCTACATAAACCAAACCAGCTTTTCATCAGGACTGACAGTGAGGAGAGAGTTTGAAAGAAGAAATATCTCTGCCGCGGATACAAAAAAGCTTTGCACGACGCCTGAAAACAGTTTCCCAATTGGAGCGTGTTTCATTGCAGGTACATGTAGAGACGGGATCAATTAGCTTCAAATGGCTATCCGAAACAACTTCAGCTCAGCGTTGACAGAACAACAACACATGCTGTCAAACCCCAGCAGTCCCTCATAGTTTTAGGCCTTTCAGGGTTTCTGGATAACACACATCAAACACAGAACAACAGGGACTGTCCACTTGATTTTGCAAGTATTTTTCCCACTGATTTTCTCTATAGCGATTTCGAAACATTCTTCAATAAGGAGTTGTAAATGTTGAGACACACTAACCCAGCTCTATGATAAATCACAACATCACGTTTTGAAGCAAACAGAATAGGAAAATTGTAAAACGCGGAACTAAAATCCCATGAAGAATGGCAGATAATCAAAAATAGGTACAACTTAAAACATTGACTTTTAGCCATTCTAAATGTTTTAACTTATTTTCATTGCAAAACACTGACGTACATACACGCTAATGGTCAAATGTTTGAAATAATGACAAATTTTTAATACCTTTATTCAGTAAGGATGCATTGGATTGATCAAGTGACAGTAAAGACATTTATAATGCTATAAAAGGTTTCTATATTTCAAATGAATGCTGTTCTTTTGAACTTTCTCTTCATCAAAGAATCCTGAAAAATAAAATGTAACACAGTTTCCAAAAAATATGAAGCAGAGCAACTGTTTTCAACATTGCTTATAATCAGAAATGTTTCTTGAGCAGCAAATCAGCATATTCGAATGATTTCTGAAGGATCATGTGTTACAGAAGACTGGAGTAATGATGCTGAAAATTCAGTTTTGATCACAGAAATTAATTAAATTTTAAAATATATTCGAATAGAAAACAGTTATTTTAAATTGTAATAGGTAAAAAGCTGTGTGTTTGTAAGAAATAAATCCATAAGCAATGGGTTTTTAATTTTAAACTGTCAATTCAGGTCATAATATGAGTCCATAATCCATAATAACACTTACTCTGGTGAAAAGGTAAATCTCCTTTTTTCCTCTAACATCAAAATCCACTGACATATTTGTTTATATCAGTTTTGGACTGTTTTGGCTTTTAAACAGTGCTTGATCTGTGCATATTTCTCTCTTGATTCAGACAAGACGATCTTTTCACTGGAGAAAGCATTATTATGAATAGAGGACTCGTATTTTAACCAGAAGCAACAGTTTACAGTTAAATTACTGTAATGATGGATTTATTTCTTACAAACCCACAGCTTTTCTCTTCACAAGACATTAACTGATGGACTGGAGTGGTGTGGATTACTTGTGGATTATTGTGATGTTTTTATCAGCTGTTTGGACTCTGATTCTGACGGCACCCATTCACTGCAGAGGATCCATTGATGAGTAAGTGATGTAACGCTACATTTCTCCAAATCTGACGAAGAAACAAACTCATCTACATCTTGGATGACCTGAGGAGTCAATTTCAAACAAATTGTCATTTTTAGGTGAACTGCATCATAAAAGTAGTCAGTAATACTTGTGCACTGCAATACAAGTTCTCTGAAATCATACGATTGTGTTGTCTGAGAAAGACAACAGCTTGACAGCATCTGGAAAAGAACAGCATCTCCTTTTGTGAAAATACAAGTTAGGAAAGATATGGGGTTGAAACTATTCCTTTAATAAAACATACAATGCTGCTGCATATATTAAATATTTGTCACATAAATTGTGTGAATCACTCACTGAATTCAGTCAAACACATAAATGAATCTGGACAAAAAAAGGCAGAGTTATTCAACAGACAGTGACAGTATTCCCAAAGGCTGGAACAAAGCACTTTCTGAAGTGTCCTGTGTGCGGCAGACACGTAAAAACCTGCTGGTGGATGTTAATCAAACGCTGAGAGATCTCAGAGCGGCCACTGCAGATACACACTCCTGCTGACCTGATTAACATGAGCAGCGCTTCTGGGGAATTTATTCATCTCAATAAAACACACAGCTCAAAGTATGAGTGACGGTCTGACAAAACACCTCACAGAAAAATCAGCTTTTCAAACAACTTCTCTAACAAATCAATTCTCCACCATACGGTTACTTACACTGTGACAGAACAATGGTAACTTCATATTAGCTACCTATCATAAAAAAGATGACTTATTTTGTTATAATGGCTGGACGATTGTGGTGAATACATTTCACCCTAATAACTAAACCAAGAAAGAAGAAATTATATTTTGCACAAGGAAAAAGAAAACGTTTTTAGGACCACCAAGTATTTCACGATTGAAAATACTGCAAATTACATAAATAAATTAATATGAATAGCTTTGAAATAGCTAGAAATGCATCCTTGCTGAATAAAATAATCTCATGCAAATGACATCAATTAATCAATCAATAGCATCCTTGCTGAACAAAAAAAATCACATGAAATAAGTAAATAAATAAATAAATACATTTAATGCTGAACAAGAAGTCTTGCTGAACAAGAGAACCATTTACAAATACACAAAATTAAAAAAAATAAAAATAAATCAACAAGATAAATAAAATTACAATAACAAAAACTGTCACTATCAGGGTTATTAGCATTACTAAAATTAAAATATGAATTGCATAAAATAAACATTAGCTGAAATAAAACAATATATATAAAAACATATTTTTCTAATTTCAACTAGTTTTAAGTTGAAATACTAAGTTAACTAGAAATAAATAAACTAAAACTTAATAAAAACTATAAATACTAAAACTTAACTAAAATTTAAATGAAATCAAAAAATCTATTCAAAATATGAACAA